GAGATTATTCCACACGTGCCTTATGAGATGATAAAGAAAGGTGGCAATGGCTACACTACCTCCCATCGGTTCACCACCTCACTCGAGTACTTTTCAGCGCTGAGCATTTTACTTTAGAGGTAAAAAGCTCCCGGTAAACCCTTTTACCTCAGGGCAAGAGCCACACTTATGCCCTGAGGTAAGTCAATCGTTACCGCATGTGCTCAAATATACCCTAGAAGCTCTTGGCCAATGTTGGCCTGCGTGCTAAAGATCATGATTACTTTTCAGAACTGATCCAATGCTCGAGAGCACCAAACGGAATACGCCACAAAAAATTGCGTCCCGGACCGATGGAATTATCTTGCGAGACAATTCCATCGGTCTGGGATGCTTTTTTCCAGAGCATACCTCCTCATCTTTCAGATTTTAAGTAATTTTCATGATTTCAGTACCAGCTTATTACTTCGGACCCCCAAAGGAACAAGGTCACTCTAAAACTAAACCAAGGCCCTCAGCATCTCAGTTGTCAGAATCCAGTCTGTAAATTTTTTTGTTGGGTCAGTCTGAAGAAGATCCTCAACTAGTACTAGTGGATTCTCGGAACTACAGCCCCCCCCTAGCTTTATTTGATCGTTTTTGGTTCAGAATATTATACGTTTATACTACTTCTTCCAGAAACTATCATGCACCATGTCATGTCCTTGATTCTGAAGAATAGCCTTGCACCTTAATCTCCACTCTGCCAGAGCTTTAAGGAGCACAAAGATATCCAATTTCTCCCATTCCTCTCTGATAACTTTCCTAAGTTCACCCAAAGTTTTGCGGCACCAATTTACGAGGGCACGCTTCAGCAACCCAAAGGCACGGAAACCCAAACCCTTGTTTTCGGCAGTAAATAGACTTGTTCTTTCCACAAACAGGATGGTACAATCGAGTTTCATAATAAACTTGTACCTTTCACCGGCCAGGTGGCGATCGCATACTTTTCAGGTTTTCGTATTCCTTTCCCTGATGTATTTTGGGCTGAGAATACGGACTTTGATCTTGTTTTCCTTACGTTTGAGATCTTAATTGAATGACCCTACCGATAGTTCCCTTTGACACCAACAGCTGACATGCAAGTAATCTCTTGCAGGGTGGATTTTCATTTTCACGAAATGAGTCACTTTAGACAGATGCTTCTTGTTAAGCACTGGTCTGGGGGTTAGGCTTTCTGAAATGTCTGAAATTCACGCCTTCTTCGCTTCTCGTCTCATTTCCCTGTAAATGATGTTTAAGACCGTTCCTTTGGAAACACGTCATCCTTTTAAGAAACACGAATTATCATTTTGTGAGTAACCTTTCGTGAATAGGTTACTCACACACATTTCCACGACAGTCAACAGACATAATTAAACGCCAACGCAATGGCCCCTTCTTTCGCATAAAAGAAGTTGACATCTTGCCCAACAATCACGTCACACGAAAGCAATTTATCTTTTCCCCGTGTGAGTAAATGCATTTTTAAAATGGTCAAATAAAGCTGGGGCAGCCTTCTGTACAGGACAGTAATGGATTTAACTGGCTGGATTCGAAGAGCTTAGTAAGGGAATGAAGTGTAAATACTTTGAAGTTAATCCATGAAGTTGAACACAGCTTACGAAGACGGGAAGTTATATTGGAATTAAAGGTCCATTCTGCACTGCGACACTAACTGAAACGCAATATGTGGCGTTAACATGGCGTGCAGTTTTGGCGGGTAGACATGGGAGAAAGGGTGATGGAAGGTTGAAAGATATATGGTAGAAAGGGTACCGTTGGGAATCCAGAGAAACATTTTCGTTGGAACACACGGTATCAATCGATTTCTCTTCCTCTCCCCGGGAATCATGAAAATTCATGAACACACGAGCGAGTTTCACGAGAAGTACTGTAGAAGGGAGAAACGAAAGCTGGGTCTCAAGAGAGACTTTCTGAAGACTGCAACTGGATTAAATTATTACCGAATTAGGATACAGATGCGTAGGATACTCATACCAAGTACGGCTGAATGCATAATTTGGAAGGAACTGGTTTTGATGATGCCATGTATCTTTACGGGGGGGGGCAAAAGGACCAGCGACTCTTAAATGCATCTCTTCTCTGGAGGACTTTATCATAGGAGCTATTTTCACTGTGCATAGATTGATAAGTTCCCAAAGACCTTTGACTTTTCATCCAAATTGGCTTTGCCAAATCAACTATTTGCTATTTGCAACTATTGAAAAGAAAATGGAAGTTTAAAATGAACAAGGGGTTCTGGAGTCTCTTCTGAGTGACTAAACTCAGCCTGCCTCCTCCTACGTATGTACATCAAGGAAGGAATTTAAGAGCATTTCAGAAACCTAACCCCCAGACCAGTGCTTAACAAGAAGCATCTGTCTAAAGTGACTCATTTCGTGAAAATGAAAATCCACCCTGCAAGAGATTACTTGCATGTTGGCTGTTGGTGTCAAAGGGAACAATCGGTAGGGTCATTCCATTAAGATCTCAAACGTAAGGAAAACACAAGATCAAAGTCCGTATTCTCAGCCCAAAATACATCAGGGAAAGGAATACGAAAACCTGAAAAGTATGCGATCGCCACCTGGCCGGTGAAAGGTACAAGTTTATTATGACACTCGATGAAACTTTATTGTACCTTCCTGTTTGTGGAAAGAACCAGTCTATTTACTGCCGAAAATTAATACCAGTAGCAGACCTATTGTAAAAAGTATCTTCTGGAGAGTAAATGCGGTCCCTGTAGGAAGGCTTTTTGTATTTTATAAATATGCAATGGTGACATTCGATATAGCAAACTGTCATTATGTGTATACAAGAAAAACCAAGCCCAAGGAATAAATTTGAAATAGAAGAGAGAAGTTGGATGTACCATGGATGATATTTAAAGGCACCCCTCGGACATCCTGCACTACCTGTGCGAGTTCTGGTCCTTTTCAACATTCAACTTCTTTCAATTATTAGCTCATAGCCTTCCCTCGGCCCAACGAACTTGGATTCAGTTTCGGTTCATTGGAAACATCTATGCGAAATGAAAGTTTCGCGGAAGTAGCTTAAATGGGAACGGAGACAGGCTAAAGGCCGTTGGAGTTCGTTTTTGCCCCACCCTGTACGGTCGGTCCGGACTCAGACCCGGTTGGAAGATGAGATCGAGCCATTTATAACGATCTACTGTCTATCTCTCGAAAGCACCACTCGAGAGAGAGGCAATGAGTTTTGGGAGATGGAGTTCATTAACGAGGAGGATCATGGGTCGTTGCCCAGTTTGATGTGGACAGGAGGACGAGTCCTTTTCTTCCTCCTCCCTTTCGACGGCGCACGAGGGAGATGCTCCATTTCCGTGCCTTCCCCCTCTGACCAGGAAATAAGGGGTGACCAGGCCTTAATAAGATCCTATCCTGTCCTGGATAATGCACCTTTTCTCTCCCCAGACCCCCATTGTCGTGATTGAGAGGCAGGAAAAGAGAGAAGACTCAAGGCCAGACTCTCCAGCCTTTTCATCTCTCCCTTTGACAGCAAGACACGCTCGCTCTCGCGACAGCGAGGAGAAAAAGAGGAAACTCTTTTTATTGACGCCATATCATCTCAGATGCATGAAGTGACAAGCAGCACGAAGCTTGCCTTTTTTTTTGCAATCCGAAGGTCCTTTCTCCGGGATTCCCATAGCTCACTTGCGGGACTGGGTCTCTATTGATTCGCGACATCAGTCTCATCGGGGCTGCCTTTAATTAGTCCTCCTTCTGTCTCCTCTCTGAAGGCATTTGAAACCGTCTGCTGCTCGCTTCATCGATCTCTTAGTACCGAAGAATGATGCAATTAAGTCTTCTTCGTAGACTTTCATCCTCTTTACGGTGTTCTGAATTATGAAGAGGTACGAAGGCCCTTCATCTTTAATGGAGCTCCCATCGAAGAGCAAAAAATAAAATGCTTCTTTAATTCGGCCAGACCACTTCCAGCGACTACATCGATCCGTTTCTGACGTCTGTAATTTCAGCACCCATTGAGCTTGAATTTTTTAGTGGATGCACATTTCTTACGCGCGAGAAGCCTCTCGTTCCTCCCTCTCCTCCTTGCTTGAAATTCAGCAGTAATGATTCCCTTTCCACGATCGATGTAGATTCGTTCAAAATGAAAACTTTGAAATCTCGGTTTTCCACATTCCTCCATGGCAACAGAACAATAGACACTGTCCGAAACGTCTTTTTGCCATGATTGACGACCGGGAAGGACTGCTCATCCTTCATTCACCAGGAATTTGTCCTTGAGTTTGGAAGAACTTCTGCTGCTTGAGGATTGCAGTTACAATGGCACGAGGTATGCGCACAAAGTATCGCATACGTGCTCGTGAGCGTCCTGAGACGAGCTATAATTTCTCCCTGGGAAAAAAATAACTAATGCACGTAGGCCTTCGAGTCGTACCAATTGGCATCGGAGGCTTCGTCTCCCTCATCGATCAGTCGGGAAACTCCTATACATATTTCTGCATGCAGGCTACTACGGTCGGGATTTTTTTTACCCAAGAAGTGGCTGCTACACGTTGCTGTGGCGTTTGTGTGACTTTTTACTTTTGATTAATAAGGATGGAACAAAAAGAGTTTTGCGATGTGGATGTTTTATTGCCCCCATAGCCAATTCGAGGAAGGAGAAGAGAAGACGAAATGCAGAATATACAGCGGAGAAGATGATATAGTGAGGGAGTGTAAGGAGAGAGAGATGAAATATCCTCTTTTCCCCCTCTTCTTCCTTGCGGATTGGACCAAGGGGAGATGAAAGGCCGAAAGGGAAAGGAAAGGGAGAATCTCCCAATTGCATGCTTGGAATGAAATATCCCTTCCTTCCTCCTCCACCGTTCAATATGCCTAGAGACAGTGTAGCCAGAGGGAGACGGCCTCTACCCTCGGCTCACTTGAGGAGTGTGCAATTTCTCACCACTCAATGATTTCTCTTTAGGTTCGATTCGGAGACGGGAGGGGGGGAGGGGGTTAGGTGGATACGGATTCTCACGTTTCGTCTTTTAAACTCCTTCTGATTCGAGTTTGGTCGGGTTTTCGTCCAGACCAGAAAGGTTTCTCTGCATTTTCTTCTGCAAGTCGACTTACAAAGACAACTTTCTCAGCGAGGACGTCTTTGAAGTTATATTTCTAAGGATTTTAAGGCTCTAAAAATTTCTTGAATTTTTTATATACATTTTTTGCAATATTCTATTGCCGATGCAGGAAAACTTTCTGGTGCGGGCGAGTCCTCAGAGGCCTATTTTGTTCGATATATCAGCAAAGCGACCTGTTTAAACGCTCACTTTGGATTTAAAAGAAAAGTGAGACTGCGATTACACTTTCGAGTCGGCCCCATCCAGCGAACGCCATGGACGTGAAAGAAGCATTGGGGAAAATCTCACATTACTCCAAGTAGGTCCACAGTCTACGTACAGTAGTATGAGGATTTTTAATCAGTTTCCTCGAATGGCAAAATTAGGCTTATTACATTTTTCCGTCCACGCTCACACGTTACTGACCTCAGCTGAAAACCGTCTATACCATTCGCAATAAATTTACGTAATGACCTTTGTTCTGCCACAAGCTTGAAAATATTCGATAAGCGAAACTAGAGTTTCAGAAACGATTAAATGCTCGATCATATTTCGCATCTGGCACGGCCTGACATGATTCATTCCTGTTCGCTAATTTTATTGGCTGATTTAAATTATTTAAAATGATTGATGCTTTGATGTTAATTTATATTCATGGAAATGAACTCATCGGTATTCCTTTATATAAATACCTATCAGTTTTAAATGCATATAAATCACATAAATTAATAGAATTCATTTCACGATGAACTTTATTATATCGAGCGAACGAAAAATGGGAGCTGTAAGCCAAATGAACCCGTCTTGGACGAGAACAAAAGAGCAGGAAAGAAAAGGCTGAGCCAGGACAGGCATGAACACATTGGCCAAGGATTTCCGATAAAGAAAACAATAGGGTGTAAAGAAAGCACACGCAAGCCGCCTTTTCGCCTGACAACCCAGTTCCATCCAGAAAGCAGGTCGTTTCTGGGTCGGACGGATCCCCAAAAAAGAACTACCGGAGCCAAAAAGGACACGAAAGACCGTGACCCACCTTGATGAAGGGGGATGAGTTGCGAGAGGACAGCGATGGGGGTCATGGTGGTGAGGCAGACGACCCAGATCACGACGATCACCTTGTACGAATGAGACAAGGTCTGCCAGCGACGGGACTTCAACGGGTGACAGATGGCGTTGTATCTCTCGATGGAGATGGAGACCAAGGTCCAAGCACTCACCGCCACGCTCACGCCTGGAAAACGACGAGAAACGAGTCTTCAAAGTCTCATTATTCTTTTCGTCGCCGAATTTTTCGTCACCGTGACAGGCTGGAAAGTTTCACATCCGCGTGAGGATGCTTCGTTGTTTCTTATACTTGCAGAGCAACTGCCAACTGCATTATGTGGAGCAATCTCCGACCGCGAAATTTCCCTCAAAAGTTTCATATTATTATTTAACTTTCTTGGAAACCAACGTTTCCAAGAATTTTCTACCCCTTGAGGGTGTTTCCTTCCCACCATAGGTTATTTTATTTCCTTTTAACCGCTAACGTGCCTTAAATCCCCTTCCCTATGAGTCCATTAACAGCTAAAGGGAGTACAAGAACCCTCTTTTCCTTTTCTTAGACTTTCGCGGAACTATTCCGCATTTTCAGAGAACAGTCGGTTTTCAGTGGAACGTCTCATGAGGTGACTACATTTTCCTCAGAGTAAAAGTCCTCGTATTTTACCCATTCGCACATTTTTCTCGTCACTCATTCTCAGTGTTTGCACAGGGACAATCTTATGTTACAAAGAAGAGTCTCATCTCGATTGCGTTGCCAGGTGTGGTAACTTTCAGGGATCGCTTCCGTGGATCCCTCGCTTCGGCAGGAATGTCACACGAATCAATTCTTGGGTGAATTAGTAAATCGACACGGCAAAAATATGTGAATGACGTCCGAATCAGGGTTGATTGAAGCTCACCACCCACACCCGGATCCCTACCCTCACCCCTTTTCAATGAAGGAGAGAAGCAATCTCGCGATTGGCAAACGGGGAAAGAAACCAGCCGAGGCGGTAGGATAATGGAGCCGAGTCCTTTGATGAAAGAGCGCGGGGATTCAATAAGAGAATGGAATCTAATAGTTTTCCGCTCCTTCCTCGGAGAAGCGGTTTGAAAAGCCCGACCAGCCGTGGTGAAGTCCTTTTCTCCTCGGATGAGAAGCAAGGCAGAAATTCCATGACTTGGACCGGCTCGGATAAAGACAGCCAATATTCTCCTTTCCTGCACATTCTCCACGCGATTGAAAAGGAGTATTTTTTTTATCCTTCAGAAAGGAGTGAAAGAAAGGATCTTCCCTTGGAATATCTGCGGTTTTTCCAGGGGACCAGTAATAGAGCGAGAGATGAGATGGGGGGGGGGCTCCAGTGCTTGAAGTCCTTGAGAGGAATTGATGTCACGCGTCATGCATGGAATGCATCGGTCGGCCATTGATTTTCATTGCGAAAGGGATTTCGTTTTGCCATGACGGAATAGACTCTTCCCCGAACGTTTCCCCCCACTCGATGGGTAAATGTCGTCTTCATGGCCGATCATCTCATCTCAGACGGGGATAGAAACGAGGCGATAGCCATTCCGAACAATGGCAGCCGGTACATTCCTCATGCAATATTCATGCCTTCTTCACTCTATGGATTATGGCCTTTTTCGAGAGCTGCGACCGGTCGATCGCTTAGAAACGAGGAAGTGAGGAGGGAATGCGGGTTAAAAAGAAGGAGCTTCCGGGGGAAAACAAGGGAGCGTCGAGGCGAAAGGGGGCGTAGTTGGAGGGTGTCCAACGGGGTGGCACCATCACACCAACAGGCTCGGTTTCCCACTCCCACCCACACCCCATGCCGTCCCGATTTATGGAAAACCGTTCCAAGGCTGACTCGCGTCGGATCGTGCCGAAACGCTCACACTGGAGATTCGGGAGGGTAAAAAATCGTTCGAAGATCTTTCGCATCCCCCGAGAACGGTCTGGTTCGCTGCAAATAAAAATATTTTCTTCAAGGGGGGGATCCGATGCAGAAGAGCAGCTGCGTAAACACGCAATTCTCCTTCCGTTCCTTCTGGAAGGAGTCGAACGGCTTGACGGCAATCCAGATCATTGGGTCCGAGGAGAATGTATCCCTTTTCTTCGTCCTGTCCATTGAGGGCTGGAGGAGAAGGTCATTGAAGGACCTGACAGAGATCTATCGCCCGCCCGCCACATAACATACTGTAATTTACCATCCACGGATTGATAGCGTCTCCCGGGTCGCCTCATGGACGTAATGAGGAAAAGCAAGGGCCGGAAGTGCGAGCCGACCCTGGACCCTCTTTCCAGATCGAATAACGAGCGAGAATCGCGAGAATCGGGAAGGAATGATGATTGGAGGGGAAACGCTCCGGAGAGGACGTTAGTTAGTCTCACAGATAGAGGCGAGTGACGTCTCAAAAATAGTTTCTGGTTCGAACCACGGCAAAAATGATTCCGACCTGGGGTCTTCCTCGTGCATGTGCCCACGTTCCGAACCTCGTCGCAGACGATGCCATGTTTCCAAGCGGAGTAGATTTCTTAAACTTTTTGAACGGGAACGGAGCAAGGGGGCAAAGGGGCAGGGGTTGAGGCCCCCCCGCGGGAATAAAAGTCTCCTTGGATCATGGCCACGCTTTCCAAGCGCTCACAGGGAGAAAAATGACCGGATCTACGGCGGGGAAAGAAGGGATCAGAGTTTAAAACGCCGAGGACAGGCTCGTCCACGAAACTTGTGCAGGAGAGAAGCGAAGCCAAGTCGGAGCCAATGTTGGAAAGTGTTCCCTGTGCAAGGCGTGACTCGGAAAGCCTCCTTCACTTTTCGTGCCCCCAGAGCAGGACGAGAGATGGAGATAGCGATACGAGATAAACTGCACCGAATTGGGCACGAGGAGTGGGAGGGTGAGGAGGAGAGGGAGGGAGGGGGATCTGATCGACTTCCCCCCCTTTTCAATCAGCCCATCGAGTCCTACCATAATAACTCGATCACGATCTCACCGGGAGCACATTCTCATTTTTTTTTGCCTTCCGAGTGCTGTTTCTCTTTTCGGACGAATGGGTAGAGATTTTCGTGATTCCCGGGGTGGAGTCCGGGGATTTTCGCTTCTCTTTCTTTCGTGTTCGGATCCCATTCGGAGCTTATCAAATTCCTTGCATCACGTAAGTCGCCCACCCTTTCCCACGCCGGAGCGGTGAATATGCCACGTTGTCATGGCAACTGTAACGGCGAGTCGCTATCACTTCGGACACGATTCGTGATAAAACCGATCGGAACATGGAATGGAAACCGATAAACAAAATCCGTCAGAGATCTGGGCCGTGTCGTGCTCCACCTGGGAATACCGCGAGAAAAAGAAAGAAGTTTTCCGTTCCCATTCTCACCGTCCCTGTCGTTTGGTGTCGGTTTACGTCAAGCTGTCTCGCGTCATGCCAAGAATGTCACCTTCTCTTTTGCGTATCGGGTGCCAATTATGTTAAGAGACCGTGAAGAAGAAGGGAAACACGGCATGCCGTTGCGGGGGAGGAATCCAGAAAAGAAACATATCCCTGCTCGTGACGTCCTCTCTCGTCTCTTTCCACTTTTATCGGAAAAGTACCAGGATGCAAAGGAAATCCAAGACGGATGAGACAAGAGCGGGAGATTGGGAAAGCAATCTTCCCATCGGCCTTTAAGTCAGGAGCATCTGGGGGGGGGGGGGCACGATGCACAAAAGCCTCATTTTCTTATTCAAAGCCGGGGGTTCAAAGTCTCATTATATGGAGTATGGTGCAGCCGAAAATTAGGTCGCTTGCATTATTTCTTTTATTACCGTGACGTCGACTTGATGTCCTTTTAAGTGCAACCCCATCTCAGGCCTCATTACATGCAAGCAAATCCCGGTCTAGGGATGCTATACAGGGTGTGACGCAAGTCAGGAACCATAGGTACACTGTATATGGATTATTCCCTGTCTAGACTGGCTCTCACCTGCCTGTCTGATAACACTAATTAATGCCAAAGTTATCTTCATCGCAAAATCTTGACCAAATGTCCCAGAGGGACCCAAATTGAGCCATTGGCCCAATTAGAGCCTAGTTATCTTGTGAAGAATAAGTGAGTCAATTTTGATCACTCCGTACCGTGACCGGATATCGTGATTAAGATAATTTAGCCATTCCGTATGCGGTAGGCGGATGAGTTCCGGACATTCTAGGCAGGAAATAATACCTACACTCTGATCCTGATTCCTGAATGTTACACCCCTATATGCAGTATGTTCATTGACAAAAAAGTAAAACAAGATAGAGTTGGCGATACTAATGAAATTTGAACACGAACTCGTGGCAGCATGTTACGAAATCGATTAGAGTTTCAAAGGAGTGTACGACGATTTTTCACGAAGATGTGCCAGGCGTCCTGTTGTAAAGGACCTCGGCGACGTCCCCGGAGGCAATTTCGCCAAATCGAACGCTTCCCCAAGGTCGGTTCGTTAGAATGATGAATGCGAGAGATGCGTCACCTCGCCTTGGTCGTGAACGTGACCCCAGTGCGGCGCCGGTGCACCCGTTCATGGACAACCGCGAACGAGTTGCATAATCAAGGCTCTACGCTTCGGATCCAAGCGCTACCGAGTGATGCACGTGTGCCTCGAGGGAATGCGCCAATCGTTCGTTTTAGCGCTATAGTTTCATCCTACAACCTGGAAACCGAAATCGATGATGCCACATACGATTATAAATTTCTGTGCTAAATTTAATTCATGTAGGTGGACAGTTTTTTTTTAATGAACTCGGGCAATGAAAAAACAAATCACTTTATAGGGGAAAAGAAACGCCTACCTACTCGAGATAGTACATGCACTCTGATCTACGGCAAAAAGAAGAGGATCAGGTAAGAAGAGGTCCTTGATGAATCTGGTTCTGGATAATGAGCGGGGTAAAGGAAAGGAGGCAAGCGGAAGACGGAGACGCTGCTGATGATGATGATGATGATGGGGACTGTGGAAGCCCTGCTACCATGGTAGCGCCTCCAACCATATAATGATGCAATGACATGGCCCTTCCATATCCCTAAATGGCCTCTTTTGTGTTGTTTTCCTTTCTGCCAGTGCCCTTCCCTCCCTTTCCTTTTCCTCTCTTTTCCTGTCCTTTCCGGTTCTCTTCCTCCTAGACTGCCCTGGTTCCTGCCGATTTCTTTTTTTCGGTTCGGCAACCCTCCTTTGCAGATGTTATGAGATAAGAAAAAAAGTGTATTTGAATGCGACATGTCCTTATGTTCGCCTCTTTCTCTCCTGTCACGATGAGAAGCCAGATCTATCAGTCTCCTCCCGAGAACGACATTTTTCGCCAGGATTTGGAGAAAATCAAAGAAATTCACGTGTGATCAACTCGGAAAAAGATTCTATCACGACTCCGGATTCTCTGGGATCATTGGGAAGTTGACGGAGAACGAATGCGATTGGTGATTCCCTTCTCCATTGTCTCTTTCGCGGATAGGAGGCCAACGTTCTTCCATCACTCCCTCCCGATGGTAATCAAGGATCTGAATGCTTGGCGATTGCGGAAGAGCTCGATCCACACCCTTCATTCCTCCCTTTTTTCCCCCTTTTTCTCCCTCTTTTGTCTCTATTGGGGGGACAGATCCGGCTTGGGTCACCCACTATTAATCCCCCTCCAGATGTTCCTCGTCGTTGTCCGCGATTCGGGAAGCCCGCG